TATTTTAATCTCGACGGAATTAAACGAACTAGCGTGCCAATAAATGGACACGGCGGGAAATGGCAAAAGATTTCTCGCGTGAACGCGACTGGATGAAGAAAAAAACCTTCGCTGGGAGGTGTAATTTTCGACGAACGCAACACGAGGTGGAAAATCAACTGCTCCGGGTCCGAGGTTTATTCTGCGGTTAATCGCGATTATCATATTTACTGCATCGAATGGACCAATTTCGAACCAATTGCACTCGATTGTTTCGTCGTTATCGTCGCGTGCGTCTCGTCCCCTACTACCATCGTTTTCTTCCGCAATCGTTCGCTGGCAGGTAGTCGAATTTGTCCGGCCCACTATTCGACGGCAAAAGCGGGCTCGATCGTGCGGATTAATTCGAACGAATTCGACTACCTTAGCCTTGATGGAAGCGCGTCCTTTCACTTTGCTGAACTTTCCGGAAGGTCGAAGATCAGCTCGCCCTCGGAAGACGCATTCGTTGGCGAGACGATTTACCAGATGAAAGGAGGCCTGCTGACGACGACGACGACATCGTTGTTATCGTCGAATGAAAGGCTTGCCGCGGAGGATAGGAAACCGGTTGTTGGAGCAACGGCGGTGGAAAAAGACAGGAGAACGCAGTGTATACGACGAGAGGACGTAAGTGACAAGTTGAGTGATGAACGTCCTACCCCTTGCCTCTTGTCTCGCGATTTTCACTGTTTTTGAATCCAGCTGCCTCGGCTTGACACTCCTAAGACATCCGGCAAATGCGCTTTTACTCCGCAGAGAATCCCGTGCGTCGCGTTTTACACAGCTTACCGTTGGCCTGGTACGCCGGAACGATCGATACTCAAATACCGTTGTTCTAAACCGTCCTAAACCGCGTGTAAAATAACGGTCGAACGATCCTCGTTACTTCCTCTATTATCGCGTTAATGTCGTTGCCGCGAGCAACAGCGGCGGCAGAGGGACAGCAATTATTTAATCACCGCTTATCGCGTTCCAATAATTCGCCGACGCGAACATTATCGCCACGCGACCAACGATCATGCTCGACCGCGGAACGCGAGTCGATGTTCCTTCGAGAGTCGCTGCGAACGTTGGCTAATAATTGGCCGTTTTCGACGTCGCGTTTTCGAAAACGAGTAGAGCTTCGTATTCGATTATGGGAGGCTTGTAGCACCGGCTCCCTTCGGGGAATTACGGTGGCTGACAGTGCAACCAGCCGTTTGCTCTCTCTCTCTCTCTCTCTCTCTCTCTCTCTTTCTCTTATTCTCTCCCTCTGTTGGATCTCACTTCCACCGGTAAAACAATGACGAATGCGTTCTCGCCGTGGCTCGGTGACACGCTCATCCCCCGTGTGCACGTGCACGTGCACGCGTATCGACACGGACGTGCGCCGGTGGATATGCACACGGGGAACATGGAGGCGCGCGCGGAGACACCCGGAAATGCAGGCTAACACGGGCCTGGTAACGCTCGAGATCGAGTTGCGGTGTTATCGAGACGGTTTCCTGTCGCTGTTGTACACGAGCCAGTTCCAACCGTGGTGCGGCCTGTGTCTAGACAAAACGGCCAGATAGTGTACCCGAGTTGCGAGAAAGCTCACGCACGAGCAGCTAGTCTATCGTTTATCTTCGCTTTCGGTCACCGCGACACCACCGCCGCCCGCCCTTCGTATTTTTTTTTTTTTTTTTTTTTCGTGTTTTCAACCGCGTATCGAAGTTGCGACCGCTCGCACCGATGAATCTCCACGATAGAAGAATCGGTGCCGCGTCGCTCCGTGGGACAACGTGTTCACCTGTTCGCCTGTTCCGTTTCCGGGCACCGAGATTTTAAATTCGTCCAGCAGGTTCTAAATTCCAGCTTTCGCATCGAGTCGGCAAGCATATCAGTAATCATTCGCGACACGATCGTCGCGAATTGAACTCGATCGCGATGTTTTGTACACGTAGTAGATACGTGAAAACGTTACGGTCTATTTGAACTTGCAAATGAATTAGAACCGTGAAACGCGTGGTATATCCTTTCGCTTTTATCGGACCGATTTCCAGTACGTCTAGTGCAATCTAGTCGGACGTTGACGAGTCTATAGATAGAGCGACAAGTCACGTAGGGTGAAATGTACGTTCGTATACCAATTACTTGTCCTTTCAACCCTAAACCTGTGTTAATGGTACCTCGAAATTAATATTAAACGACCGACTGGTACCTCGCCGCTTTAATCAACGATTAATTTAATCTAATAATTTGCCAGACCGATAATTACATCCTCCAATTTCGATGTAATTAACGATCGGCAGACTTTGAATGAATTCCATTTGAGAAAAATTCGTCGATCGATCCTTCGCCCCGGCAAAATATTATGCCCTCTATATTTATATTTACAAAACATCGTACTTTTTCCAACGATCAAACGGGAAAGCATCAAACGCCAACCGGTGATCGAAAACAAAGATAAACAAATGTTCAGCGATATCGTTATTTACGTTGCTCAAAAGTATCGTTTTCACGAACGAGATCCCCGAGATTAATCGAGTGTCAAAAGCGAAAAACCCACAAATCACACGGAACAATATCCGAACAACGTCGACCTGATTGTTTCCGTGCTACGAAGTTTTGTGAAGAAGTTTCTGCAAAGAAATGAGAGAGAGCCTGTGGAAGAAAGAGCTGTTTCACAATACACCGGAGTAATGCTTTTACGAAACCTAACAGAATTTGTATCGTAACAGTTTGTTTTGTAATTTAGATTTCTACTTTCCTTTTGTCGCGTGTTCGTAAATCAGGGGGCAATAATTGGACACCAGAAAGACGCCAGAATTTAATAGAAATCCCATTTTTCAACAGTTGACCTCTTCTCGCGCGTCCTTTAAATCACGAGTGCTAGGAAAAAAGGCTTATTAAAATTAGAAACGCGTTTTTTTGAAACCCCCTGTGGCCCCTTATTCTCCTATCGTAACGCAGGGGTACGTGAAACGATTCGACAGTCCATCGATGGTCGCCTAAAGGTCTCAAAGTGAAGTGCGATCGTTGGTACGATTGCATAACAGCGGCGTTTGGCAGGTTCAATAAGAAGACGGAACGACGTTTTCGCAGGCCGCGTATTCCGCCGGATGTTTCCTAAGAGCTAGCGACGAAGAAAGAGAGAGAGAGAGAGAGAGAGAGAGAGAGAGAGAGAGAGAAAGAGAGAAGAAAAAAAGTCGTTCGAAATTCCGCGCCATATGCTCAATGGCTCTTGCAGGCGGCCCCTACCCTCGAGGAACAGTCTCGGCGCGCCGGTGCCTTGGCCGTAGCCACGGAGAAATTCAAATTTACGCACCGACTGCCCCGGGTGTGTTTTTCGAACTTATGAAAAATGAGTCTAGCCATGAGGGTCCAGACTATACCCTCCACACCCCCGGCTATACCCCGCACGCGCCGGGGGCTTACCTCCTTCAGCTTCAGCACGCCGTTTTCCTATGCCCTATCGTTTTAATTTCCTCCTCGTTTTCTTTCCACGAAGCCGACGTACTCGCCCGAGAACAAACACTGGCCGTTAATTGCCTTGAAAAGGAGTAATCGCGGAATCGACGCGCAGAATTATCAAATTCTGATGGATATGAAGAAAGAGATTTGCCATTTGCTCCTTTTTTCTCTATGTTTCTTCTTCAGTCTCATTTTTCGATTAAATACGCATAGAAATACCAGTTCGTACTTATTTGGTGAGATTGTGTGGTCTATAGATTTTTCGAAGGAAACTAGCTACGTTAATTATTGAAACTCATAAAATTTAACATTCATTTCCCATGTTTCTCATTTTCTTTGAAAATCTATTAAGACCGAAAGGATTAAACTGGTATAATAAAATAAAATTTTATAATAATAAGTAAATTATAATAAATATTATAATAAATGAAATTTTTGGCATTGTCATAGTTTCATCTTTCTTTCTAATTCCGTTAGTTGTCCTTACGTTGGTTGGTCACTCGGTAGAAGCAAACAAAGCTGTTAACCAGCCATCGAGCTAGAGTCAAGACAGTCGTACATTTAGCAGGAACGTAGAAATACCGAGGAGCTTCTCTACCCGCATTACCATATCTTTCACGTATCTGTTCTCATTTTTCTTCCGTTATTGCGACCGGTCCTTTAACTCGCTTCATTTTTCACTCATTCGGCGTATGCTCGCTACGTTGCCGGTTCTGATACGGAAGACCACGCTTGAATTCGGTCAATTGCGGCCCCGGCTACGTAACTTCCCCTACGAAATTTCGCGAAAGTGCTCTCCTCCGAATGAAATTTCCACGTAAAGCGGTTTAATAATAACCATCACTTCATTTTCTCTACGGATCCATTGCACAGGTCTAAGCTTTTGCAAGCTCGAAACTAATAATCATTTCCCTTTTTTTAACAATTTTACACTGGACCAAACAGCTGCAACTGGTCAATAACAATTTCTGCGAGTAAATAAAATTAAAGAGCAGAAGGGGCCCTCTTTGCACTTCGGCGACCGAGGCTGATGGCGTCATTAACGTTCAAATAAATTCATTTCTGCGCGAAGTCGCGTAAGGCAGGAACAAATTTTCAATCTCGTCGGAATAAGAACGAAAAATGAAGGGAGACCAACGCCGCGAGATGCATTCTGGACAAACTGTTCTCATTTACAACGTCGACGTAGCGAGATAATCAAAGTTCCCAACGTCACGAAAATCAAGATGGCCAGCCAAGATGGCGCAGCAGGCCCCGCATTTTCACGAGCATTTTTTGCCAGGCCACCACGGCCGCGCTACGATGAATTATGGTGCATAACCTCGAGAGACACGGAACCGCGATGCATATAACCTATATCTCAAGTTCTTACCGCGAAACGTGCACCAGTACAATTCACGTCGTGGCAACTCGATCTAGCCTGACCCGAACCAACATCCTGTATGCGAACAAACGCTATCAATATTACGCCACGCTGCATCGTATTTTCACTCATCTTCCAACGTTCCTTACATATTTTTGATGCTCCGTTTCTCTGGAAATACAATCGTATGGATGCCATGAAAGTTGCTGAGTCTCGGAGCCCGATATCATCTTCAATTTCGCAACCGTATCTTTCCAGTTTATTCGAGTTAAAAGTTTCTTCCACTGCTGTCAGTAATTGCTAATTGGTCGTAAATGTTTATGCGATTTGACACTGTAATATTACGCGATTTGCAAGTGTAATGATTAGACTGCGGATTTTGGTGAAATTTAGAAACGTAAAAATGCGGCGAATGCGCACAACAAAAATATACGAAGCATGTTACATTTAACAGTGGAAGTAAATTTTCTGCTACTTCTCTAGTTGTTTTCATAAAAAAAAAAAAAAAAAAAAAAACTGAAATGAAGTTACACAAAGGTTCACAGTAATGATAATTCTGAAGAATTCTGAAATTCTTCTAAATCGTTTAATTTCAATTATTTCTTTCAGCTAGGTAATTTTCCGAAATTTCGAGTAAAAGTGTACTTGCCTGATGGAACAAATTAGACGGATCTCCGAATTTTTCGTTCGTTTCAGCAAGGATTTTCTTGTAACTTCAACAAAATTCTAACCACGATCACAAGCGGTAGACGTTACTATAGAGATTATCCTCCTTCCGCTTCTCTTTCTTTACTTACTCTTCTGTGCTCCGGAGAATGGAAACGGTCAAGAGTCTTTGCCCTCGAAGGGTAAGTCTAGCACAGATACCAGTGCCAGTTCATCCGTTTACGATCATTTTGAACCTTAACGAGGTTCGCCGTACAATCATAGAGCCGCGAGCAAGCTTTGAATACGTTTACGCGTCTCGCGTTTACATTTACCGGCCCTTTTCATGGCTTTTTTACGAATATTATACGTCTTGACATTTACATACGTTTAGTATGTATCCGTCATGAGAGAGATTTTTAATTTTGACTTTTTTCAGAAGTCAAACTGATTAAAGTCTATTATCAGTTATTATCTTATTGTTTAGTCAGTGACGTTAACGTTCAAAGAATAAATGACTCAATTCCGCAAGTTCATTCTTCGTAACAAGATGACACATATAACATTAAGTTTTAAGATAAATTTAATCCTACTGTCACACTTGAATCTTTTATTTTACAATCTTCCTTTCGTTTCAACCGAGGAAAGAAGTCTTGCAATACTTTGAGAAAGATCTTTGTTTAAATATTCTCAATTAGGAGAGATAGTCTAGTAGATATTCTAAATTATTCCGCAATTTACATATTCCGTATTATAATTTCCTTTTGCAACGATTCTTTTATATTTGCCTTGAGTTTAAGAAATTTCCCGGTGCTAGAAATGGCTGGAGGAACGCAAACGACGTTACTACTTTTAATTTTGCCAATTTACGTAATTGTGATTCGATATTCTTCCTGAACGAATGATTTAAAATACCAACTCTTTTTTTTTTTTTTTTTACATTAGAACAATTCCGTTATAGCTAGCTGGCTAATAGAAACATAATGATTTTTCGCAGCAACGTCGAGGTAACGAAAGAAATCGTAGGCGATGGAGCCGCGAGTTCCACGGCTTTATCGATGTATCGTAAACGCGAAAACACGCGGGGGACACGCGATGGATTAAAATTGCCAGATGCGTTGGCGCGCGAGCACGCGAGGCATTTACGCGGGCCGCATATACGAGCGCGAAGAATACAAACGCGTGGCTATCTGTGCCGCGTATTTGCCGGCGTAACATCGTTCCGCGAAGCAATTCGATTTCTTTTTCATTATTCAAATTTCGCGCCGAGTGTTGGATCGCGGGATCGGCCAACGAAATGTCTGGATCGTCGCGCGTTAACGCCCGATATAGTGTCGTAGCAATTTTTTACTTTTTTCGATTCAACCTCTCCTGCCAGCCAAATCACACAGCCGATCGTTTCGTTCCATTCGCGAATGCGACTCGACTTTTCTCTTTTTTTTTTTTTTTTTTTTTTAACCTCCTCCGGTGACCGTAGAAAACGCGGAATGTCAACGAAATGAAAAATTTATGAAAGTTGTGGCTATTTTTTATGCTGCAAAGAAATCAGGAAATTATTTTCGAAATTAGGAACGAGTCGGGAAGGTGCTCCTCTTTCATTTCGAAAAATTTCATTTAAACAAAATTATTCGTCGTCGTTACATAATATAAATGTCGTTACGAAATGTAATAAACGGTCTCCGTGTGCAACACTTTCTCATTCTTTTACGTAACGATTTCTAGAGTTACTGTACTAATATCAATCAGAATAAAGAACGCAAATAGTATCAGACTTCTGTAATAGATAAAAATCTTCGAAACGCTGTTTACATTTCATAAACAAGTATTTTTTTTGGGGGGGGAGGGGGGAGAAGAAAAGAAGATAAGACGGCGAGATAAGAATCGATTCGACAACGACATTGTGCACGAACTCACGTTAGAACCTATACGTGCTTCCGTTGTCTCGGTGAAATTGACGACGACGGAGGAGGGAGAGCTTGGTTATACGATTTAGTAGGGGCGTACTATTGATTATTACAGCATTAAAAAAAAAAAAAAGCAGAAGAAAGAAAAAAATGGGAACGGCAGTGTGCGTCGCCTCGATGGACCTGTCGCTTTTTATAAACTGTCGTAGCTGATGGCCGGAAAACAAACGAGGAAAAAGCCACGGCGAGAGGAGAAACGAGAGGAGAGAATCGAGTTAATGTCCAAAGCTGCCGTTTTAAACAGCGAGCCCTGCGGTTTTCCCAAGCTTGCTTTAATAACCAGAGAATCGTAAATTTTCGAAGCCGGCGTCGTCTCATCCCCCTCGCGTGCCCCTCTCATCCCCGCCGTTGCCCGTGTCGCACCGTATTAAAAGCCGACCAAGAAATTCAACGCGACTTTTTATTCACGGGCGTGTGCAAGAACGGTCTCCCCTGCCGGTGAAAAAGGACCGGCCGTTTTCGGCTGATTATTTCCTCGATAATTGCGGAACGATTGCCCACCGCGTGCATTTAACCCCTCCGCGCCGGTTAACGCGTACGGCGAGATATTATTCCATGGGATATTATTTCGCGGAAAATGAATAATTCCGGGGAAATATACCGTTTCAAATTTCGACCGTGATTTTTCTGTTTGCTGAGAGCTTCTGTTCCTCGTCGAGTCGGCGAGCGGAACGCGAAAAGATTTGGAGAGAAAACTGAAAATGATATCGAGAGAAAACTAGAAAGAAAAAGGGAAATTCATCGGAACGAAAAAAAAAAAAAAAATATATAGGGAAAGACAAAGAACTGTAGAGAAACGAATGCCGATTCGACGAACCAATTATCGCAATGTTTTTCTTTTTTTTTTGTCACGCCATCCTTTTTTAATCATGAATTTGATCAAATTCTTTTCATTTTTTTTTTTTTTATTGTTTTGTTTTTAAACACATCAAAGGCATATAAACGAGAGAGAAAAAAAGATAGGCAGTTTCATTTAAAAAAAACGTAGTTGTAGTTGAAATATCTCGGACACGTGTAACGTATCAATTTTTCCCCGTGAATTTCCTTCTCGGTCAATTTTCGTCGGCGCGCGGTTTAATTTTTGCCGGATCTGCTGTACAATTTTTCAAGATATATCCGGTTAGAAATTAATATGGAACACCCTGTATACACCGGCACGTCACACAGATTTCGCGTGTAGCTACAATGAGTTCTAACACAGGTATCCAGACACGCGGCCATGTTTCTGCCAGCGCACGGAAGCAGTCAGCGTGTCGATGATTTAAAAATATAATATATTCAACGGTTGACCGCCGTTGCGCCGCTTAACTAGCCAACCGTGTTCAACTTTGAAACCCCCCTTTTTTTTCTCTCTTTCTGTCGTTATCTATTCTACCACCTCTGTCCGCCATACTGTTTTCTTTTCGTTTGTTCTCAACGCTCTTGTTCCCTCGTAATTGTACACCCGTTTATAAATCACCGAGCACCCAATAGAATTAAAATCTGGTTCAGATTTGCACTAGAAATGAGAGCTGTATTGTGTGAAATAAAAATCAGGCATATGATGCAAATTGTATATCAATGATCTTGTTAAAAAAATTTTTTTCAAGTCGTATATTTAGAAATGAACCATTAGAGGTAATCTTTCTATTCATTCCTCTCGTGATATTTCTCTCCAAGATTCCTCATGAATCTTTCTTTCATTCTGTTTCGTAATTTTTAATTATAATTATAGTTGCATACGTGTCGTACTTCAAATTTATATCATTGAGATAACGTTAAGATATTATTCTAAATACGATAAAATAAAGGGATCAATATTCTAATAATCATTTTGCCCGAAACGAGCGATGTATCTTAGCGAGCTAACCGTTTTGAAATCTTGACAAAAAGAATTGTCTTCATCGATCCACTTCGTCTCGAATCCGTTTCCTCGAATTTGCACAACGTCGACTTACAATGTTTCGTTCCGACGACGGCGTATAATCGGGGTTGAAATTTATTTCGATCATCGAACGGATAAAGCAAGCGAAAGGCGCCTGGCGTATTAGCCAATTCGACATCGACTTGTAAATTTCAAAGAGTCACGCCGACGAGGAAAGGGCGGCTAAGTTTTCGCCTGAAAAATGGCAGCCATTCGCCGAGCCGATCTGCAAACACGCGAAATTTCGATCGCGTTCCGTGCCGCGGCTCGTCGAAAGAGCGAGACCGAGTTCCCCGATGAAGAGATATCGTTGACGGTTACACCGTGCTGCCGCTAACTTTCGACGGCTATTACGATTTTCTTTTTCTCCTTTTTTTTTTTCTTTTTTTCTATTCTACTTTACTCGCGAAACGTAACATTCAATGAGGTTATGAATAGCACGATGACGATCAAAAGGTTACGTAGTCAACGCTACAAACTTCCCGAACAACGAATTAACCCTTGAGTGAACTATTGGAACCGGCGAGATACCATTTAATTTTTTAGGCTATCATGCATCATACGTTGACGTATCAAATTTATACTTATCTATTATCCTCTGTCATCTCGCAACCTCGTCAAATAAACATTTCTTTCTAATCGGTAAGTATAAATTTCTATCAATTATTAAACTAAAATTACAAGTCCGCTCGATTATAACGACAACACAGAGATCGAGCCGGCTCGTTTCGTAATTCCGAACATTACGGTAATTTCGTGATTTATAACGATCGAATTAAGAACTGTAGTGTTATCACGGTGACCTATATCACCGTCGATTCCGTTCGTATCGCTCGCCCGACAATTTCCACTCTTGTTTCTACTCAATTTATATACAAATTTCCACGTTTGTACATTATCGATCGCAAGCGTTTAAACGTGCTGGTAATCGGCAGCGATTTCAATCGCGCATCCGCGAGGAACGTGTTCCCGAATCTGGAACACCCTTGGACGGGCGCGGATAATTACGTCATGGACAAGCGATTTATAATGGCAGGCGCGGTGCGTATCGCCGCGACACGCGTAGCTACGCGCGTCACGGCGATTTTTTACATCACCGTGCGGTACCATAAATCAATTAAACATAAAAACCGCGGTGCCTGCGAGTGACAAATTCAGCTGCGACTCGGTCGAACCACCTGCAGCGAATTTGATTTGCCACGTCGACCGCTGCTGCCCTTTCCTCCTCGTTACAGCCTCCCGCCTTGTTGTTCGCCGACGTCGACCCTCTTTTTTCTTTTTTTTTTTTTTTTTTTTTACTGCAAGCAAAAAATCGTGGATCATACTGTTAACGCTGCAAGAAGAGGATGATCAACCCTTCCAGTGGTGAACTTTTCATTGTGAGTGGTACGCACTCTCGCCCGGAAAATCTTTTTATTTTCAACATTTGTTGACGTTAATATACGTCGTAGATAACAATAACTTTGCAACACAATTGTTAACATATCAATAAATTTGTCGTGAAAAATATTGTTTCCTCTAGTTTCGAAGCTTGTTTCGAGAGTTTCGAGCGAGAGTGTAGTTCGAAACAGATGGGTTCAGAATCAGAATCTTGGCATACATCAAAATTTGAAGAATTTGGATTCAGTCGTTTTAATATCTAAAAAATCATTATATCTGTAAAGGTATGTTTGAGAAATGTAACAGACACTCGAATTCTGAACACCGTCCGCATAAAAATCTTTCAACGCTCTCTTGATTTATCGTGTTCTTAATTTATTTGACAACGTTATAACTAGAGCGTTTGTGCAACACACCACTGGAAGGATTAACCTTGCTACGTTCTTCGGCTCACGTTTGACCCAATCGTATTTTTCTATCGTTAAACAAATCTTCAACAAGATCATTTTTAACTCTCTGGCCTCTAATTTCGGTGAATTTTCTTCGCAGACAATGCGAATCTCAACGAAAGAGAAGCGAATCTTCAAACTATGGAGATTTTTATCTCGTCGAGGTTTGAAGTGAAAATCGATTAAAATTGAATTTATCAAATTTATGTACAATCGTTACGACACATAATGTTCCAAGATTTTTCATTCCTTCGAATGAAGATCGGGGCACGAAAATTCGAAGATCGTAGCAAGTTTGATAAAAAAGAAAAAATATTTGGAGATGTTTGGTGAAGGGTATTCGAAGAAGAAAAAAATTTATTAAATAAATTGTGAAGAAGAACGTAAAAAAATAATTAGGTATTTAATCTCCGAGAAATAAATTTAGGCTATTTTTCTTATTTACGAAGCGATTACACTGTTCGAAAAAAGAGAAATACCCAAAAATTCGCGAAAAGGCAACAAAAATCATTCTTTTTCTCAATACTCGATCAAATAAGAATCAAAAATATCAAATGGAATGGAAGAAAACAGAAGGTTCAACCAAAAATTGTAAATAAAGCATCTCGAAGATTCTGTTAAATAATCCGCTATATTTAGTCACTATGTCTCGTTATAAACAATGAAAAATACATTGTTCGGACTATCAATTTGCGTTCCAAGTTCTCTTTTTATGTGAAACTTTTCAAGGACGAAATTTCATATCAGGTAAAAAAGAAAAATAAACATTCTTTCGCGACACTCTCGACAGAATTTTAATTGAAACGATAGAAAAATTCCCCCTATAACACAAAGTGTCTTTTGTTCTCTATTGTGTATAATTTGTAAGAGCGTGAGAATTAATTTGACCATGGAAAATTGGACCGGTCTGGTTTTTTTATGAAACGTTCGTTTCTTTTTTTCTTTTTTTTTTTTTTTTTGTTTACATGCGTCGAACAATACGTTTCACTCTCGTCATTCCACGTTAAAAAGTAGTGGAGTGATGCATGATCAAAAAATGGTCGGTAGATTGTGGATTTTTATAAACTGGAAGGAAATGGAACCTCAATAAAAATTTGTTTCGTCGGCTGAATATTACAACATTATACTCCACGCTTTAGACGTTCTGTATATATGTATATATATTTCGCTACTGCACGCATTCTTTTTGCAGCTTCAAATTTCCTATGAATACTTAAAAAAAATTTAAGGATCAGCTTGAAAGATATTTTAATAGAACTTCATTCACGTATGCATTATGTCCTCTATATCTTTGCTCTGCAAAATAAATACTAGAATATGCTTTAAACTCGTCAATTTTCGTACACTCTTATTCTTCCACGTTCTCACGTGAAATGACGAAAGGTGTTCACGTATGTACAAGAAAAGAGAAAGTATCCATTCGAAATGCTGCGACTGCAAAATGCACATGGATTATGGTACTTGGTATCATTCGTCTTTTCTTCCAACATTCAACAAGAAAGAAAAAAGATTGTGAAACAGACATTTTATAGAATTAAAAATAGGACTGAGAGACAGACAAAAGACTACAATGTTACTGGAATCATCCTTGAAAATCACGCTCCATTTTCTTATTCTGACAACAAATCTTACAATTTCGGAAAATCAACCCTTACAAATTATTCCTTTCTATTATCTCTTTTTTTTTAATATTATTTCGCTCTAATCGTTTTGACTGACCTTCGAATCTCCAGCGCCAAGGAACACTAGACCTATAGCACCAGCGTACGCCAACAGCGTGTCCACCGCCTGTTGAGTCTCCAGAAGAATCCTAGTTTCGTTCATCCAGTCTCTGGCGATGGACTTTGGCGCGCCTTTCAGCAAATTCATGTAACGAAGGGTCATCTTGAAATCACCGCGATCGAGCCAATACCTGAAGAAGAAAAAAAACAAATCAGAGATTTCACAATCGTTGGCATTTGCTTCGTCAAATTTTCACAGTTTCGCTCAAAAATTTTTAATACTTCAACGTTTTTCGAACAATTTATTTTATTACAGATCGGTTAAACTCAGAATGGACATTTCATTTTTAATAAAAATTTTATTTGGTATCGCGTTTGGTAGATAATACAATTTCTAAATCGCACATTCAATTTAATAAATGTAATATATTATACATTTATAGGTGTATTAACATTATTAACATTATAGGTGTATTTTTATTACTATATTATTTATTGTTATTATTATATTATATTATATTATTATATTATTACTATATTATATTATATTATTATTATATTATATTATATTATTATATTATTATTATATTATATTATATTATTATATTATTATTATATTATATTATATTATTATATTATTATTATATTATTACTATTATATTATTAATATATTACATTCATATTTCATTCGACAATCCTGTACGAATTTTTTCATCCAATTTCACGTAATTTGTTGAATTTATTAAAAAAAAAAAAGGGAAAAACATCAGCGCAAACGATTTAATACCCGGAATGACTACTGTCGCGTGCGCGTAATAATTTCATTTGTGAAATCCAATCGATCGAACGAAGAATAGACGGAGAGGGGGAGCGGCGATATTACAATAAAATAAAAGAGATAAAAAGCAGTTTTGCGAAAAGCGGTTGAAAATCGGTGCCTGATATCCGATAATGTGGCCAGGGGGTGCTTTCGAATTTCATCCGAATTACCTGTCGACCGATCAACGAACGAGTCATAAACATAAAAGCGCACAAGTGGGAAAACCGGGGGGGTTGCAATCGTCTCTCTTGAGAAATTTCGAGCTATTACACTATACTATAGCGCCGGCTATTTCCCGAAATTGTCCGGGAAATGGTTGACATTGGTTCCAACTTTCGATCAGCTTGCTTCGCACACCTCCTCCCTGACGCCTTCGTTCGAAAAGATTTAACGCGAATTTAATTGAACACAAAATCGAAGCTTCTTCAATTGTTACGTTTCGTGCAACAGACGCAAATTTTTGTTTTGTGACTCGACGACTCAAGATATACATACGTATATAAATTGCTCGAAAACTCCATGGTTTGCGACAATAACAACCGTTCGGAACTTACTAACGACCACAAACATATAATAATCACCTGGAACCCGTCACACTAAGGAATCGAAGGAAACGAACAAGCCGACTCCTTAGTCAAAGAAGCAACAATCGATCAAACAAAAGAAACCAACATCCCACACCAAGACCTACTAGCTTNAAAAATTTTTTTTAAAAAAAAAAAAAAAAAAAAAAAACAGAAAATGTCAAAGAAAAATTTCGAATTTCTAATTTACAAGCGACGACGTTGACGAATTTTTTAAATCTGAATGATTATTCGCAGATTCACGTCAGTTATCAGTCGTTTTTTTCTTTATTTGAAATCGATTTTAATATTTCAACTATTAATCATCACAACTGTCAATCGCCAATGCTCCAGATTCTGACGTGCATCAATTTTCAAATCTCGAAACTAATGGTTTGTACTCTTAACTATTGTACCCAACGATTGAATAGTTTTAACATTCAACTTTATCGTTCAATCAATTCCAACGTCTAACATTTTCAATCGTTGATTTTCCCAAATTTTCATTATCTCATTCGCCAATCTTTAAATATCATGTACAATATACAGTAGTATTTATTACATCATGCACAATAGAACTGAGTGCTTTTTTCACCTAATTGTTTTATTCAATTGATCCTAACACGTAATATTCCTAACTTGCTGGTGACATCCCCAATTTTAACTCTCATCTAATTTTCAAATTTCAACGTTTAACACATCCCAGTGACATCGCGAAGTATTATAATAAATATTGCATTACAAAAATTTAATTTTTATTTTTATATTCCTCCTGACAGAGATCTACGGAGTAATAGAATTCAATCGAAATTAAAAACTCCAAAATGAGATGAACGTAAAATCTGCATTTTCTCAATGGTGTCCAATGATGTCCATCTAAACTCTCAGTACTAAATTTTCAGTTCGATTCTCAAACATCAACCTAAATTTAAGTTCCAGGGACCTGTCCGAAATTTTCTCCGAAAAGAGAAAAACGAAATTATTGCGACGCATGCTCCTTCGATTCGTAAAAAAAGGGGAACGACCATCTTGCGAGGGACAAAAATAGAGGAAAGAATATCGGAAGTAGCAGCATCCAATGCTCTTCGTAGGACGTTAAACTTTCATTTCCGATGGTTTTTCCGACGAACGTACGTGACTGACCAGTTGGACACGTACGAGTACGAACAAGAGCGCAAGTACACGCGAACATACACGTAAACTAGCTGCACATGAACGTTCACACGTGCTACTGATAAATTACGAACAAAATATGTGTTTGTTTTAAGCTCTGGAACTGAATTCGATATTCTACCTCATTCGATTAATTTCTACTAAATAAATATATTTCTTTGTACTGTGTAAAGTGTATATACGTGTTTATACGTGAATATTATATTTTGCATAAATGCATTTTGTCTTGTAGATTTTATTACGTTACATTTATATTTATTATTATCGTGTTTTCTTTCTACTTTAAATATGTAAAATATATTATCGTTTTATTATCGTGTTTATTTATTGTCACGGTATTTAAAATTAAAATTGAAATTTACAGCATTCTCTTCTTCAAAAATTATCTCGACGAATGAATTCCTCCAAAGTTTCTTCAAATAAGAAAGTTTCAGTCTCCCCGATATATCCTCAAAACTTCTTCCTAACTAATTATTGCGTGACACCAACAATTTACTTGCTACGTGAAATAATCACACTGTCACGTGCAAACGCGAGACACGAGTAAACCAAGTAACAACTTTACTTAACAACGTAATGAATTTTAGTAATTAAACGTACATACGATAACCAAAGCCGATACATCTACAAATCCTTACCATAGTGAATCTGTTCTGTTTCAAATTCAAAAGATGAAGATTCGAACAAAAATCATTCGTCACGGTGAGAAGCTACTTTTCTCGAAATCTTCTTCGTTGCTCCAACTGTTTTTAACTTGAATAAAGTTGCATCCCGTGTACGTGTAGGGCACAAAGTACACACAGAGTAGGAACGTGAATATTTCAACGAGAGGCCACCTGCGTGGTCCACGTACGATGAAACAGAGGATGGTGGCGATGTGAGAAGTGGAAACGCATTAAAGTTTAATATTTGATGGCCACTTCTTTTTATCGACGGCCATTCGCCGCTGAAATTCTCGTGTTTTTAAGGGGTGGACGCGATGGCGTGGTTTTCGCGCGATCTGACTCAGCAAGCGAGAGATAATTCTTTTTACGATGATCTTCTTCGGAAGAAGCAGACTCACGTTCAAATTCCAGTATTTATATTTGAAAAATCTTCTTAATTTAAGAGTAATAATTTAACAAATGCTGAGACTCTCGTTATATTTATTGCAAACACGTTCATCTTTTTGTAATCGACTTTTATGCCAATAACAATGAGTGACCAAGTTTGAAAAGATTCAAAGACAGATTAGAGAGACTTTGATTAACATATCTACGGTATTTATTGTAATCTTTTGTCTTGAATACCCTGAATAATTTCGTAACCTGTGATAACATGTATTTTTAATAATTTATTGCGACCTGTGATAATATATATTCTAAGATAATTTATTGTGACCTCTATGTATCTTTTTTAACTATGAAGATTCAAAAAATATTTGTTCGTTTCATCGAGCTACTTTCCAAAAAAAAAACTTTTCCTGCTAAATGGCGTAAAAGATACATCTAATTGAAATCACTGTGAAACGTGACTTCTTCTTTATTTACATCATGCATTTTTGTATTCTTAACTTTCTCCAAAATTTGTAAACATATCTGTACATACTTTTACATTTACATTAATTTACAAAGCAATTAAATAATTCCATCTTACACTTTAATTGTTAATAACTTCTTGGCAGCCTGCAATTTTATGTTAGACAGGAACAGCAATAGGTGGCTTGCAGCAATTCGGTTTTGCTCATTTTAATAAAATCGCGAAACTTGTTACCATTATATGTAAGAAAGTTAAATAATAACAGCGACCTGTGTCATTTGTGAAACAGCACTGATAATATTAGTTCGTTCGCGTAGGAGGGTCCAACTTCGTTTCACTGTACCTCGTTTCCTTAATTTCTTTCATCTAGTTCCGGCGACTTTTTGAGATCTTCATTTGCATAACGACGGCTGCAAGCTAATTTTTCCTACTTATTACGTAAGTTGCAAGAGTAAGCTCTGTCAAACTTTGAACTCGATGGCTTTAATCTCACCAAAATTTTAAAGACACGACGATACTGTTTGTTTCACTATTTTCTATGCAGATAATTTTATTTACCATCGATTCGTTTCACCGTAACAATCCATCATCTTTCGTAACTTGTTCCATTTCTTACTTTTTGTGAAACTTTTATAAAATCCCTCTTTTTCTAATTCACGCCTATTCTTCCTCTCTTTCGTTTATATTAAAAATCTTTAGTTTGTTCAATTATTAAATTCAAAGCAGAATAAAATAAATAAATAAAAAGTAATGTAAAACAGTAGAAGTGAATTTGAACAAAATAAAAATAATAAAGCGAATAGAAACAAATTTAATTACTAAACAAACACAAAAATCTGTTTGTTTCTCTGTTTTTCTTCACCTGTTACTCGTTCGAAAACTTAAAAAAAGAAAGGAAAATGGAAAAAGTTTCCAAAACTACCACCAGGTCAGTCAATCACACCGATTAACCCTTGAACCAGCAGAATCGAAAGCGAGAGAAGTCATTGCCGCGTGTCTAATTGAATTCCGTTCGATACCGCGGCGCGAGAATTCCCCGACTGGCCGTTTGAACTTTGCTAATTTTAATTTCGCCTGGGTTCGTTCGAGGTGGCGGGGGGGGGGACAAACCTTAAAC